CAAACACCACAGCTGGGTGAGGCCACATGTGCTGTTCTACTTGTGATGTAAATTGGTACTTTGGTGCCTCGCTACATCATTGGTGCAGTTTTGGGAAAAAGAATGTCATCCCCTCATTAGTGATTAGGGCTGAGCGATATCACTTCAAATCAATATCACGATTATTACAATTTAAGATTAATGAAAAATAATTTTGGTTGCTATTGTTGACTATACAGTCTAAAGTAGTTGCACCTCTTATATCACAGCCCATAACAGATTTCTCAAAGTTGGGAACAATAACTTGACAACACACACATAAACCACAGATATTGGATTATATTATATATATAAATTCACAGTTGCTATTGCCACTGATTATTAACAAGCACAACTGGTTTACTGTGCGCTGCAGTCAGTGTTGCTAAGGGCAGTGATGACAATTTATCAGAATAATGAAGCAGTGCTTGTGCTTGTTTTCACACCGATGTGAAATATAATTTACTGTATATTCTCTTGACACAATCATTTACACAACAATACCCCGGTATCATGGAAAAACTATAGACTTGGTTATCCTGGGTTCTTTAAAGAATTGTAACATGACCAGGGGAAATCAAAATATAAAACATATTACAGCCCTGGCTCCTTCTAGGGGAGGTGAGGACAAGCTTCCTTTTTCCTTCCATTGCCTTTTAGATCCAGGCTCTTTCATCTCTCACCAAACAAAAATAAATCCAACTGGACACTGGGACTGAGGCCAAAGTAGACTGTCCTGTGGTCGAGCCCCAGGCAAAATCCTGAGGACCATGCAATGTGTTTTCTCTGCAGTTTCTACTCAAAAATTACATCTAAAATCCTTCAGGTGCTCTGGATAATTTAGGAAGTGAATGAAATCATAAAAATAAAGTTCATACAAATAACACAAACAAGCAAACTTTCTGCACTTCAGTATAGCTGCTTTCATATGTGCATTGAAGTCCTGATATCTTATTGAAATTTGGAGGGGCCATGTGTGAGAACGCAAACGCCCGAGTCAGTTGCTCCACACCCACAAGAGAGGAAAATGTCCAGAAAGCGAGCGATTGAGCGAGTCAGTGTGTTGCTAAGATTTTTAAAAAACACTTGGGACTAACACTCAACATGAAAAAGAGGTGCCATAGATGTAAAAGCCACTGACATTTTATCAGGAGCACTGATGCCAACTTATCAGGGAGATGTAAACTCAGAAAGACAATGACAATTGAGAGCTTTTGGTAATGAGGCCACCCCTACATAGGCCACCCCTTTCCTGAATGTTCCAGACATTTCCTGCTACATTCTTCATATGTGAAAGACAAACTGCTGAAAATGTCTAGACCCAATTTTCTGTACATGTTCCAGAGCACATGTCTGACAATGGCTTATTTTATGTGAGGTTGAGCCACGTGCTCCTCAGAAAGGGCAATTTGAACAGATCAGATGAAACAGACCAGTGCAACATGTGAAACCAGCCACTCCGAACGTGTTGGTCCTTGCTCTGTTGTGAAGCATTCTAGAGCAAATCACAGAGGCACCATATTCAAGTGCATGGATAAAAGTCTACGTGTCTCCATCCCACTATTGCACGATCACCTGATGATGTTTGCCATGCAAAGCAAAGACTCAAAATAAGATGGCCTACGACAACACACATGTCGAGGGGCTCAGACTCTTCACAGATATATCGCGCACACACTCACTCTGCAATGGAAGTTGTGAACATGGAGTAAGTATGGTACGGGCAAAGATATGCACAGGGGTGAGAATCAACAGGCAAGCACAGCGTATCAACGGACGTCGACATGCACTCAGAGTGAAAGAGGAGAAAAACTGTGGTGAATATCAGACAGCGGAGTCTGGGGACGGAGAGAAAAAGCTGGTTGAAATATTAATGAGAATTAAATATTAACGTAATTCTTCTATTGAACTGTGAAGTTTTGGGAATGCAGTGTTTTTGCAGCAGCAAATGTACTGCCCTTTAAACCGAGAGGATTCCTGAAGAGTTTTGACAGGGCTAATATCAGCATGTCATCCACATGTCGACTTCTGCTTCGTACAGGACTCTTCTTATGAAACATACAGTGCCTTGAGTTGCAGGCAGTGACTGAGACGCTGTTTTGCAATGATTTGCTGTGTAATTATAGTCTGACAGCCAGATGGATCCTGTGTAGGAGGCAGATACTTGTGGTGCATCATGGTGCACAAACTTAGAATCCTACAGATGCACATACACCCAACCTCACTGAACTAGATATGTACAAAAGAACTACACACACCAACAAACCTGGATAATTACAGTTCTTCCTTTCCTCACATCTGTCAAAGTCCTTCCTCCCCTCAAACACACCCGAGTGCACACACACATGCCAAGCTTCATATCATGCAGTGTGAATATCCAGTGAGACCGAGAGTTGATTACTGGCTTAAAAAACGTGCAGTAAAGTATTTGCTATTCTTAATCCTGCAGTAATTGGTGATCTCAGTGTGTCCAGCAGAAGGAAAAAGCTTATCTCAGTATGATCAGTTGTATCCAGTGCAGTCCTTTGATAAAACTAGATTGTGATTGAGGTTTTCCCCTTGACCTTCATTTGCTTCTGGTTCATTAATGGGAAAGAGATTCCATCAAGAAACTAAGTGGGATGTGACCAGAAAGCTCATCATGCAACAACACGCATGATCTGAAGGCAACATCATAAGTAGGGCATGTAATGTAAGCAGTCAACTACACTGACCTCAGACAACAAATTGTTGAGTTAACAAAACATCACATGAAGTGTATGTTTTCCATACACTGAATTATTTGTTGAATCAATTTTACAATATCAACATTGAACTCCACACATAACTGTTTTTTTTTTGCTTTTTGCCAGTTAAGCCCTTTAAGACATGACCTTGGTGTAAAATCCAGAGAATTGGCCTTTGGAGTTTACCCAGAGTTTGTATTTTACACATGCACAACACAGCCGGAGGTTCACGAAACGTTCACAACAGCAACAAATCCTCTGCATTATTCAGTTACTCCAGTTGTTCCATTGTACACCATTTCCAGCACCTGGAGAAAGACACTCATCGCCTGTTGTGAAAACATAAGCGCTATACTTTTTCTGGAACTTCTTTTGTGCTGTAAATCAAACTTTAATTTTCCAGAAAAGATTCATACCAGGCATAGGCACCAATTTTTTTTTTTTACTTCAGATGGGTGCTCTGAACATTAAAACTGGATGTGTTTTCACTATCTACCGTAAAATAGATAGACTTTGATGCGTTTATATTTATTATATTATCATTACATTCATTTGATTTCAAAATAATGTGTGGCAATTAAAATACATTCTATCACAATTCCTCAAAATGTCATCATCACATTGTTTGTTTTCAGGAAATAACCCAAAAAAGCCAAAGCTATTTATTTACAATCCTATCTACTAATTCCAGAAATCTGTTTGTCTATGTAGCTCGCATATCTCAAGTGCCGTTCATTTTATCAGCCTCACACTTGGCATGTGAGGAATTAGCAGTGTTAAATTCTGTTCGGTCTGGACACGCGATACATTCAATATTAATAAACCTTGAATCAACAGACGACCAGCGCTCTGCAGCAGCGGCGGCTGAGACTCATCACCATAAGCGATGTTGTTGATCATTACAATAGTGTGTTCATGTCCATGGGCGCATTCATGACAAAGGCAAAGACAAGTGATTTCAGTTTGTGCTTCTTGCGTAACCCCTGAGTTTTACTCAACTGAATAAACAGGTTCACAGCTCTTCAGGGTTCTGTAGACTGAGTCCTTCAGCCGGTCTTTACTTGCTGCTGCTCAATAACTGCAGGTCAACTTCACAGGTTCGGACAGAAAAGCTGCAATCATTGTCACCACAGGCCAAGCTAACAGCCCATTCCAAACTGTTAGGTTTAGAATGGATACTGCACTAATAATTTAAATGATGGAACGATCAAATTCTAGACTAAGTTTCGATCGATCAACTGCTTAATTAATTGACACATTGTCTCCTTAAAGTTACCAGAGTTACAACCATGAGTCCCATCTTTGTTTCTGTATCACTGCAACTTTCAACACCTTGAAACTACTGCCCGTGGCTGAGAGCAATTATCAAACTGTCACCATCAGAATAAAAACAAAGGTATTTTCTGTGAATGTGAATTATTAGTTCATCAGGTAGCCATGCCAGAGCAACAGATGCCACCCTCTTCTTCACTGAACGCTGTCAGGTACCGAGATAACCTCTGGCAATAATTGCACCTGACAAATGGGCCTTGACAAAGGAATGGGGGGTGTTCAACCTTTTACTGATCTGACAGAGCAACTTAATTGAAACTATCAATCAGAGCCACCCTCCTCTACTCTGCTTTTTTGACTTTCATTCTTCCCAGCATAATCTTTCTCTTCTACTCACAAGCTGCAAGAATTTATCTCTCTGTCAGTCTCCCTGCCTCTCATGCTCACTTGCACATGCATATTAAGACCCGTGTGCACAAATCAATACAAAAAATATTGCTAATCTCTGCTGGCTCTCCATCCTCATCATTCCCCCATACGGTGCACAAACCCATTACTTGATCATTACATCCTGACAGGGCTAATTAATACATCATCCCAACATATTGTATTTGCTGTTTTCCCTTCAACAGTCTACCTATCAGACTTTGAAGCAGGTTGTGAGAGCAGTGACATCTAAAGTCCCAGTGCAAAAGCATGGTAGAAGCTTTTTTTTTTTTACTAAATCACTACAGCCCCGAAAGGGATGTCACAGTCAGTGGCAGGAAAGAGAGGATAGCGTTGGAACAAAAGGAAATGCCTCCCCTTGCTGGAGAGGAAAGGGTTAAGCCTATTACAGAAGACCAATCAGGAATGGGGGAGCACTGCAAACCTCCGCAGTAAGAGAGAGAGAGGGAGGGAACGAGGGAGTAGGGAGAGAGAAGAGAGCAGAGCAGAAGATAGAGAGATACCAGGAGTGTAATGGTTTGCGCTACTATCCAGACACTGAGGCAGGGAGAGAGCACATCAGACACTTGATGAGATGAGGAGCATTTACAGACCAGTCCACATGGATGGATGAGAGGCAAAACAGAGACAAGGGAAGAAAAAGAAGAATCCCACCAACATCACTGTCAGGAGTAATCTCTTTGGACTTGTTTTTTCTCTCTGCCCAAGACTCAGGGAGGAAAGAGCAGCTGTCAGTAGTGTGACCCTTGTGCATTCATAATTATTCAATCCTAATTCTTGGATTACCGCACAAAGCATCAGGCGCCAATCCAGAAATTTGTATATTTGTCGACCTAGATTGTTGCAGAGGTGAGGAAAGGAGAGGGGGCAGCGTGTTGTGCAGACCGGTCCCGGAGCATCTGTGTTTACCCTGCATGGTGAGTGTGTTTTGATGGGTCACTCATACTTATTGCTCTGGTTTACAGCTGAGAGAAGTGTATGTGACAACTGAGAAGAGTCCAAAGCCAAACATGTCACAGCAAAATGAATGCACCGGATTAGACATTTAACTTCAGTTATTATGTGTTGGTGTAAGACTTCAATTTCTGGTTCGAATGAGCAGACGGATTAAGATGCAATCCGTCTTACACTTGTAATTCCAAGTTGCTGCTGCTGTAAACATCCCATTTTAAACGGCTTTTGTTATTTATTTGTGCAATAGGATGTCTGTATATTAATATACTCTAAGCACGTCTGTTTTCTGCTCATATTCAAAACTGTCTAACACTCGTGTTAGGCTTTTCTAACACGAGACCCGATTTGCAGTTGTGCACTTTCAATCTGTGCATCCTTACAACACGCATGATCCTCTGTGTCTTTGACATTGTGGCTTGGTTAAGTATGTCTTCCATCGCTGAAAACAACCTTGAACAGTGACCGACATGTACCACTGAAGAGATTACATTGATCACACATAGTGACATCGGAGGAGGCATCCCTGTCTTTATGACAAGTTCCCCGAGGAATCACACTGTGCTACAGCTCTGAACACGTCTGTCCTGAACTAACAACATACAATAATCTCCATCAAGCATTTCCTGTAGTGATTCACACTATAAAAAAATGCAATAGCAAAACACTACTGTAGTTAATATTACATCTGTAAATGTGAAGCTGAGGTGTAAAAAAAAAACAACAAACAGTTGCTTTTGTACAAGCCCTGTGTTAGTGCTGCTGTTATGTTAATGCACTAGCAGAGATGTAAAGTGCATCAGGCAATGCACAGGAATATGATAAGACATCAGAGGCTTGTTGCTATGCTAATAAGAGTTTCCTTGTCGCCTCTCTGCTGAGGATATGTTTCTTTTCATTATCACATCCCCCACACCTTGCTCTCCTACTCCTCCTGCTCTCCATCTCGCTATCATCCATTACCCCTTTCTTTCTCTCTCCTCAGGTCACTGTGAAGGAAGGATGTGGGGCTGACTGACTGAAAAATGACGATGTGTCTTTGTCAAGAACCTACTACAGATGGCGGGTGGGCGCCTGACAAACTCAGTTCTACTACCTCATGAGGATGACCTTCCCCTGAATTGCAAAATCAACTTCCCTCCTAGGCTCATATAAATACTGGTGATCACAAATGTCACAATGATCACACTTCATGGTGATGGATACGTATGCACGCAAATAATCTGCTCCACTCAAGCCATCTCCAGTGATTGAGGGTTCAGCATGTCAAGGGGCAAACTGGACACCTGTGCTCAATTTTCAAGTCAGTGGTGGCTGGAGCCAGACGCACAGAGACTGATGAGAAAGGTGGAAAGTGAAGGTCAGTTCCGTTAGAGGCCCCAGGGGATACATGGGCCTGGACGCTGCCCAGAAGCACTGACCTCTCCTGGACAGATTCTGAACGTTATGCTGTACACTAGGGAATCGACATGGCTGGCTGACAAACTCTTGGAGTACAAGCTAATGGATGTAACAGTTTTTTTACATTTATAGATCTGACGACTACCTTCTCAGTGGGGACAAAAAGCAAGGATTTGGAACGTACTATGAGCAGCACATTCCACCCCTGTGCAGGAGAAAGAGTCTGTGTTTCTTTGTTTTCTTCGTTGGCTGTGTTTCTCCTGTCTGGGAATATCATAAGATTATAAACAGGAGGTGGCTCCAACATTTTATCCCTGTTCCAATCATCCATCAGTGCTCCCACCATCACCAAAGCAAACGGACCAGAGATCTGAGAAAAAGCCTGTAGGTGACGTTAGCCGACATCCACCGGGTGCAGGTGGCCGATTCCTCAGCTTTCTTGTCAGTGTGGACAGGAAGAAGCAGCTCATAGACAGTGGAGACAAACAGGTGCTTCTCTGGCTGTCATCCTCTCTGGGAGGACCAAGCAGTGAAAAGGAAAAGCCTTCGCTTGGGGGAGCCTTGCTCGAGCAGAAACAGCTCTTTACTGGCTATGTTTGGATGTGATGCTTCTCTCTGTGGATCCAACATGGACTCTATGGCCTGATTGCACAGCCCTGGTATTCAGATAGTGCTGGAGGGAAGGGTAAATATTACACACCGAAAAATCTATTTCTTTTTACATGTCATCTTGAATGCCATTCAGATTGGATGCATGTCTTGATGGAGGGCTGAATAATTTTCAAAATGCTCAATCTAATTAATTATTTTAATTTGTTATAGAGCGAATGTGTATTAGATGTTTTTCCTCTGATCCAACAGTAATTACATTCCCAAGCACTAACGTTATTTTTGGTGTGCTCGTTAGTCCATTCATTATTCAAGACGTTTTTGAACAAACATCTTGTATCCATTTCAAAGTTTGTTTTATGAGCCTGTTGATGTTGAGGTAAACATGATTTTCTAATAGAATATTCTTGTCAGTAACAAACCACCTTCATTTGCCCTCATTTGGCAATGACCAAACTGCTGAGAGAAATTATGATTTTAATTCCCAAGGACAGTGAAGAGTATTTTATTACTTACTTTCTGAATGATTATTAATTCAACCTTACTGGAAGAATTATCTGCTTTGTCATCATTGCCTTCATCCTCTGCGTTTCATGCTAGGACAATAAAAACATGTGAGCTTGTTACGCAATAGAGGTCTGGAAGTATAATAAGCTAATGCTAAGCTACTACAAAGCAATAGCCATTACAGGACTGACACGCACTTGTTTTAATGCTTGACCATCTGAAGCTAGCAACACAAAGACAATAACCAATCAAAGTTAGCTGCTTGGAACACGCAGGATAGCCGGCATTTGTGCTAATGTCCCATGCAAACTGTCAATGCAATGCTTAAAGCGAGAACATGGGAATTGAACTCCACAACCAGATGAACACGTACCAGGTTCACCTCCTGCCTCTGGCTTCTCACCAAGCTCATTTGTTGTTGACGTCAGACAGGACTTGTTTTTTCCATTAACATGGATACTACAAGATAGTGGATACCACTGGATAGTACATACTAGGTGTGTTAGTCTAAACACGATTTATTTGGCTAGTGCCTGAACTTCTTCTTGAAAACTTAAGCATGTCTCAACCTATTCCCAATACAGAGCAACCAAAATTCAACAGAAACACAATGCAGTTTGGCAATGCATGACGTTACCAGATTCAATGTAATTAAGATGCGTTTCCATTGAAACATCCAATGAGTACGCATGAGTTTTCCATTTAGGCAGCATGATGAAAGAATTTCATTTCTTCCAAAGGGTTTCTGTTTCATGATGTTTTGTATGCAACTATCTGATCAAAGATGGTATTAAGAGGAGTAGAGGCTGATTGAGGTGAAGTAATTACTAATTACTTGTGCCATGCGCATAGTGAGATAATCTAATCTGTCGGAAAAAAAAGTTCCAGCTCTATTAAAAAGTGTTTGCACTCAGCATTTCTCATTTTTAAATCAAAAGGCTTCCTTATCATTAGACAACTGGCAGCATTACAGCTGACAAGATTTCTCAGATATGTGTTAATTACGACTTTCTAGAGATGCACATGCACGCAGACTTCTTTTCATTTCCCTCTTCATTAATTCTATTTCTCTCTTCTCCCTGCACACAGGATAATGCATATCCTTCCCAACCTGGAACAAGAAGCCACCATGAGCAACGTCACAGTCACTGACAACACTGAACCTATCAGCCGCACCATGAGTCCGGCAACCCCCAGCCCGTATTCCTATCCTGTTAGTTTTCAGGTCTCCCTGACTGGCTTCCTCATGCTGGAAATCCTCCTGGGGCTGAGCTCTAACCTCACTGTGCTTGCCCTGTACTGTATGAAGTCGAACCTCATTAGCTCTGTCAGTAACATAGTCACTATGAACCTCCATGTGTTGGATGTGCTGGTTTGTGTGTGCTGCATCCCTCTTACGATCGTGGTGGTGCTGCTCTCCCTGGAGGGGGACACTGCGCTTGTCTGCTGCTTCCATGAAGCCTGTGTCTCCTTTGCAAGTGTTGCCACTGCTGCTAATGTGCTGGCCATCACCCTTGATCGCTACGACATCTCAGTTAAACCAGCTAACCGGGTGCTGACCATGGGCAGAGCCCTGGCCCTGCTGACTGTCATTTGGGTGTTATCCTTTGTTAGTTTCCTTGTACCCTTTATTGAGGTGGGCTTCTTCGCCCAAGGCCATGCTGAGCTGAACCAGACAGTGGTGGAGAATGTGGTTCACACAAACCAGTACTATACAGAACTTGGGTTGTATTACCACTTGCTCGCTCAGATTCCTATTTTCTTCTTTACTGCTGTTGTCATGCTCATAACCTATTCAAAGATCCTGCAAGCACTCAATATTCGCATTGGCACACGTTTCCACAATTCACAGAAGAAAAAGGCTCGCAGGAAAAAGCATCCATCCATGACGGCCATGACAACGCAGCAAGAGACCACTGATGGATCACAGAGCAGTGGCAGCCGAAACCCCACAATGGGCATGCGTACCTCTGTCTCTCTAATCATTGCCTTGCGCAGGGCTGTTAAACGCCACAGAGAAAGGCGAGAACGCCAAAAAAGAGTTTTCAGGATGTCCCTCCTGATAGTGTCTACTTTCCTCCTGTGCTGGACACCAATCACGGTACTCAACACAGTCATCCTGAGTGTGGGCCCCAGTGACCTGATGGTCAAGTTGAGACTGGGCTTCCTGGTCATGGCTTACGGGACCACTATCTTTCACCCTTTACTTTATGCCTTCACGAGGCAGAAGTTCCAGAAAGTCTTGAAAAGCAAAATGAAGAAAAGAGTGGTGTCCATCATCGAGGCAGATCCTACACCTAATAACGCCATCATCCACAATTCCTGGATCGACCCAAAGAGGAACAAAAAGGTGACATTTGAGGACAAAGATGCACGACAGAAATGTCTGTCTTCTGAGGATGTGGAGTGAAGGAACTCAATGCTCCGTCAATAAAAGCAGCTAAAACTGACATCAGGTTATGATGAAAAAGGGAAAATATTAATCCAAAGCAGTAATGTAAATATTATATGTAACAGAATGTACAAAAAGAAGAGGTGGATAATTTATTACTATTTATTGAGAAGAAAAGTAGCTTTCATAGATGTACCATATACTGTACTGTAGATATTGCATGGCTTTTTGTAACAGTAGCAGCAAATTGTCAGTGTTTCCAATTAATTAGGTAATTAATGCCTAACTTGTCCCACAACCGATTCTTAATGAATCAAAAAAAAAAAAAAAAACTTCTCATAATAACATACAAGATTTATAGCATAGTGTTTTGCACCATTGCTTCATTAGAGCTATGTGCCCTTGGCCCTACTGTCTGTCTGTTTGGCTCTGTCTCCCCCCCAACAAACTGACAACAGACTGGCAGAACCAGGTCGTGTCAGTTTTACCATCTCTGGCAGGACTCAATAGTGACCAATATTATCAGTAATTTCTGCTTTAGATGTGCATATTCCAATGCCGGGCATGCATTTCTCAGCAGGCAGGCAGACATGACCATAACACCACCACAACCCACCCTGGCAGTTATCGCCACAGATAGAATCAAATTCAGTGGGAAACACTGCATAAGATACATTGTGTACATACGTAATACATGTAAAGCATAGGGTAAACAAGGTATATAAATAGAGACAGAGAGAAGTAGGAATTGTTTATATGTATATGTATATTTATAATAAATTTTGTGTTCACTCACCTAAGGCAGCCAAAGGCTTCCTATTCTTCCCACAAGTAAAATGTTTGTGATTGTGTAAGGGCTGTGATATTACTATCATTCATCACGACCATGCCACTTGCTCAAACACCAGACTCTGCAGTCCTCAGTGACCACTGACCTCATTGCCTGGCAGCCCTCAGGGGGGGAAGGCCCTAACACTGAAATGAGACTATGGGGATACAACAACGACAGACAGGACCAACGTGGGGAGATAGGAATGGAAAGGTAGTCGTGAAGTATTGTATGTTATGTTCCTATGGAAGAAAAGCTGTAGGGGAAACTGTTCACAATCACTGCTTTTTTATGTTCAGGAACATTCACATTCCTGAAACACAACAGAGCACCATGGTTCTCATCATTTGTTTGACATAAACCAGATGTGAATCAAAACCTAGTCTGTTTCATGTTAACAGCCACCTCTTTGAGCCAAATGGAAAATCTACTGTTGCCTTATTTTGGTACGATAAATTGACTGTGACTTTATGGTGGGACAGGGTCTGTGACAGGGAGAGCACATATTGGACACAGTAAAAAAAAGTGTTCCAATTATAAAAGAGAATACAATTCTTGAATTTATTGTTTTGACTTAGAAATGATTTAATCAAACTAAAGGAAAATGTTAAATTCGTTCGCACTATCAAATTGTTGACTTTTAATAACACTAGCCCCATTCTCCAAATAAGTAAATCCATAACTGCAATAAAGGCCGACTGCAAAAATCTTGAAGCTTAATAAAAGATTCTGTTTACAATGCACAATAACAAATAATTAAGTTCTTCTTCCCCGCCTGTGAATATCTACCAACAGTGCGTGCCTTTCTTTGTTTATCAAAGACGATGAAATTATATTTCCCATGTGGCTGCTGCTGGTAGATAATAAATGCAGCCAGCCTTGTATTTCTGGCTCAACTTTTCTATGAGTTTGCCCTAAATAAGTTGCAATAATTTATTCGTACAACTGCAGAAGAACTTCTGTGGTGAGAATTTACAAGAAGAAAGCTTATTAGATTCACTCTGCACTTTAATACTGGATCTAGAAGCATCATACAAAGCCATGCTGAGCTGACAGCTCACTTAACTACAACCCCTGGGTCAAGGACTAATACTGCCTCAGATTTTTAAATGTATAGCGAAGTCACACCCATGCATAAAGGTGCAAACAGGCACAAATGAATATAGGTACTCCACTCCACAGTATATCTCAGTAATGAGCTTATTCCGCCTTTGCTGTCTCAGGTTCAGTAGAAAATTGAAGAGCCCTTTCGATTTGGCTACGATTGGATTGGATGCTCCTCTGACTGTCAGTGTATGGTTTGTAGCACAACAGAGAGAGCTGATATTGGAATATTGATGCAGGCAAGGTTCTTTATGACCCTGCTACAAACAGGCAGTGTTGATGTCACGATGCCTTGAGGGCATGTCTGTGATTGAGAGTGGAGATGGGATCAAAGCCAGCGACAGATTACCCGACTAGGGAGGGAATATGACCCATGAGATGAAACCATGAGCCAGAGGATACATTTAAAAACACTAATGTATATTAGTCCAAATTTTAGAACGCAAACTTCCATGGTGAGGAAATAAATATATAAATGTATAGACATATTGCTTTTACCATAATAACTATGATAAACAACCACAGCTCTGTTCTGTTCCTGTCGAATACATCATGTCAGGTACTGTTCTAAACTTCATCAGCTTCAGTTAGTGAATAAAAATCATTTGTATTGATTACCTTCTAAAATTACCTCTCAAAGGCCAATACTATGACACCAACTAGACTTTACAGTCACAATATGTTTTTTCCATCCTTAGGTACGGCCTCACTGACCCAAGTCAAAAAGGCCTTTCAAGTACAACCAACATTACAACATGATGTTCTGGCTGATTTGCCAAACATTTCTTTTTTTAGACCCTGTCTAGACCCTAGTGCAGATATTTAGCAAAAACCTTTTCCTAAATACAAACAGTATTTAAATCATTAAAATTTGATTTTTTTAAAAACGCATTCCAAAGTGCACATTTTTAAAGACTGGTGTCATGTAAAACTGAGCATTTGAGAAACAATGACGTCACAACTTACTTAGTGCCTGCCCACTGCTGCTTTGTGTAATGAGCATGCACTAGAAACAACAACAATGGCGGCTTATACCAACCATAAGTTTATAGCTATATAGCATCACTGCACCACATTTACAATATTCAAAGGCATGTTCCTCGACCAACATTACTTGAACCTAAGCTCAGTGAGCATGCTCTCTATGTTCTTCACTGGTGTTTAATGGATCAATGATGCAGACTGAATCGCCACCTACTGGCTTTACTAGTTTGTAAACATTGCTGTGATCTCATCTAGACAGAGTAATTTTGTGAGACGAAGATCATCTGCCGTAGTGCAGACAAGGCCACAGTCTGACATTTGCTTCTTGTCAGATTACTGTCTCAGATGGGTGGGGGCAGTTAGCATAGAGTTTATCAAGTTAATTATTGTAAAATTATCTTTTCGTATCATGTTGAGCAACATTCATTGAACTATTTACTATTTTATTGACAACATTTTTTATAAATGTCTTAAAGAAATCAGTTCTTCTCTTTAGGAAACACCTTCAATACATAATGTTGCTCTGAGTTAAGAACTGTTTTTGCTCACTTTCTTTTCCAGCCTTTTCTATCAGCACTTGTTGCTACATCTATTTGGATTCTGGCTCTGGCAGAGTTACATTCCTAACCGTTATACCCCCTGTACAGGTTCCAACTGGCTCAGAAGTTTATGCAATTTAGGAATAACTCATTCACAAGGGCAACAACAGAGCTTTAAATCTTTAAAGCTTTAAAAAAAAAATCTAAATGTGAGCAGAAATTCAAAAATAACAGGCTTTTGAAGAACTCACTCACTTATTACCCCAAGCTTTTGTGTAAATTATATAATGTTCCTGATGGAATATAGACAGTGACCCCTGACTCCAATTTTGGCTTAACTAACCTCATTGAAATCATTATAACCACCCACGGCAAGGATAAAGCAACAGAGCCTATGTCCTTACTCATCAAGTCTACACCATTAGTGCTCCAATGATAAAATAAATATAGATTAATGAAGCTTAAAACAGTCTAACTTTATCTTTATCAGTCTGTAGTGGAGGGATCATGTTCGTTAATGTTCAAAAAGCTGCCAGGGATACAAATCCCCAAGAGCAGTGGTGCTGGTTAGCATATTGGACATGTTAACAGGCCTCAACTCCACCTCTAACCTGAGGTGACCGGTCAATACACTAAAGTAGTCAATAGCAGAGGTTCAGTGATGCTTATAAGAATCACTTGACCCTGGAATGTCCTTTTCCTTCTCCCCAATACACCACATCAAGGCTGCTACTTGCCGCTGTCCCTATCACACACATTACGTCCAGCCCTCTCTCGCTCAATGGCTGCCTCATCCCCAATTCAGATGCCATCTCTTCAGATCCCCTCTCTATCCGGCCGCAGACACAGAATAAGAGCCTGGGAAATCACATTATTCTTTCCGTATGGAGCCTCTATTGCATTAAGTCAGCCAACACTCAACTGTAATTCTGCTGCCGTAGAGAAAGAAGGAAGTTAATTGAGCAAACCAGCTTGCGCGGCCTGACAAATTGTTGCTTGTGGTCATTTTCTAAATGTTAGTCTCACCAAGCTGCATTTAGAGAGATGGAGGGACACTTTATAGAGTTGGAAGATATATGACTATGATATAAAACCAATAATCTCTACACTGGTAAATCTATGGTGGAGATAGAGACCAGGAATTGAAGGCAGCCAGACATAATGGAGCATGACCTCTACCTGCTATGACCTTAATGGCACCATTGTGTGGTATTGAAGAAAATAAGAGAGCAGTCTGCAAAGGCTGTGTAGATTACTGTTATCAACAGAGAGCAGACGGTTCATGACACATCAAGTGCTCTCCTTTATTACTCACTCTACATCAGATAACAAATGATTCCTGGAGGGTCAACAGGGGTAAGCAGCTTTGTCTGCATGCTGAAGACAATAAAGAATGACTTAGAATAATGATTTTTAAGAAAATTAAAAATACTAAAATAGCACTCAGAAGAGCGCCGACCTCAATCAAGGCCCAACAGTCCCATTAAATTTAATTAAACTGCAACAATTTACACTCACCGATAGATATAAGTTCCACGAAGAAGCCCGATTTCTTCATCAAGATGTATGACTTTTCCCCTAGAAAACAGTGATAATGTCAAAAAATACATACACACACACACACACAAACATTTTATATATAGAGAAAGAAAGAGGAAAGAAAGAGAATAACATTTCCTGGATCCACCCATTTATCTGGATGTGACCCAAAATTTAATGGATCCTATCTCAAGCAAACCCCATCCACAAACTGTCTTAAAAAATTGCTTGAGTAGTTTCTGCATAATCCTGATAACGCATGAACAACCACGTCGGAACAGTCCTCTTATGAAACCACAATTAAATATACTGGTTTCAGATTTTTATCTGCACACACTCATATCATTAATATCAGTCCCCTAAACATACCAATTCAGTTATGCTTAGGGGACACAAATAGAATAATTAACAGAATAATAATAATTAATAGTACATAAATGGAATTATTCAACAACCATGAATTATTCTGTGAAAAGTAAATTAACAAGTTAAAAACGCTAAAATTGCTCTGTCTTTTTTCTGTCTCCTACAACATCCATCTACAAAGTTTTATTGTAATCTGTCTTGTAATTTTGCATAATCCTACAAACGAAAACAAAGACAAACTGAGACAAAAGCATAACCTCCTTGGCAGAGGTAATAATATAAAAATACTATGAATACATGTAAGGGTTAAAACCTTTTTGCACTCCACAGAATCAAGCAGCTCAATATTTGTACTCAATTTACTTGAGATTAGAGGATTGACACCAGCCGATCCCAGTCTCATCTCAGTTTGCATGGTTTTTTTCATGGTTTACCTGTTGCTGCACCTGCCGCCACTATTCCACGTGTTGTTGTTATTCTTTTTCTCTTTGATTTTGATGGCATGCAGGATCATTATACTGCCCCCTGCAGTCCTGGAGGAACAACATGTCCAGTACCCACAACATCTGGTATCTCTGGTACCAAATGTACTGTCAAACAACAAGTACCATCAGAGTTTTCCAATATTTGGCATGGTTCAAAAGTACCAGGTCTCCTGACATTCCTATTCAGGACACAGTGTCCTCCATTACTTAAATCAGGATTGCACCAAGAACTATAGCCAGGACCAATTGCACTGTACAAAAACAAGAACCTATAGCCAAGTTCCTGCTTGGCCCCAAGTTTTGCTTTTTCACTCCATTCCTCCACAACTTTGGTGCAAAAAGATTCAGGCATATTCCCCCTTAAAAATAAACATGGATTTTATATAGAAACTGGCCATTTGACAAAAAGCACTCATGCCATAAAGCATGGTCATAGAGACCATTCAGTGTGAGAATTTTACAATTGACAAAATTACATTGTGAAATCGTATCATTTGTGAAATGTGGCTCAGACAATGGAGCCGACTACACAAGTATATTCATATCACACTGAAGCAAAACTATGAAGGACAAAAAGAAGTCAGAAGTTTTGTGCCAACATGGCTGCATGCCCGGTCACTGTGTGTATGTGCACCTGCCAGTCAGCGTGTCAGTGTGCATTTGCATGCATACTCCAGCACGTTGCATGCATGCAGCCAATTGTTTTATCAGGCAATGACAGTGTCAAGCCCTGTGTGTGAGAGGGGAGACAGCAGATCGCTGCCTACCAGCTCTCCTCACAGTGGTGAATACTGTCTGCAGCCAGGCACTCTTGGATTGTACTGCCACTCAACTCTCCACATGGAAAGATATGAATGGGAGCAACACAATGAAGCTCACTAACAGAGCCTGGCAGCCTGAGTCTGAAACTACATGGTGAGCATCTGTATTCACTCCAAACAAAATAGTCTCTTACCTTTAAATAGAGTCTTCCTCCAAGTGTCCTCATGTCACAATTTAATTACAGTGTCCAGTGCTCCTGAAGTACGGGTACCATTGATTTTCTCTGTAGACAATGCTCAGTTTGGATGGACTTGAAAGACATTAAGGTTGAATCATCAGTACAATCGATGAGCACCAGCTGCCTGTGTGTATAACCTTAAAAATTCTTTTGTGAGACCAATATCGAACTGAAGCTTTTGAGTGAAATCCTGCAGGGTGAAGGAGCAAAGTATTTACCAGTGTTGACCAGGCAGAGGAGCCAAAAAGAAATTAGTCTTCATGTGGAGCTGTACTCGATGGGACCGATGGGAACTTTGTCTTGTCTCGTGAAACCATTGTTGTGTCTTCTCTATCTTTCTCCAAAAAAGTCAGAGTTCTCACAGAGAAACCATGTACCTTTGTCTAGTTATTTGTTATCTAGCTTCCTGACTCAACATTGGGTCCTATACTAAAATTGAGAAAAGAGAGGGGACTCAGTATTATAACACAAATCCTTTAACTCTATGTTCTGTCATTCTGGATAATAGATGCCCAAAATAAGACAATGCATACCAAGTGAAAGATAATAAAACTCAATTAAAACCAAACAGAAAAAAACGGACCAAAAAAAGTTATTAAAATAGAAACCCAGTACGACATTCAGCAAACTACACACTACTACTACAAAAAAATAAAATAAATAAATATATATATATATATATACATACACAACACACATACAGACAAACACATACATATAGGCAACACTCAACCAAGCACACTCTCAACATAATATCACCACAGCCTGACCATCTGCTCATTGCAGGCCTTTTATCATAAAGACTACTCCGTCTCCTGAGTTGTGACCTCTGAGACGATGAGCCAAAGGAGAGCAATCAAAGCACATTCAGTTCTGCTACAGTCATTTGCCCACTCTCAAAAAGCTATCACAGGGAGCAGCTGTAAACATTTTGCTGCTCATCACTCATGAGAAATGCAGTCAAAGAGGATAGCAGCTATCAGTCCCCTTCACAGAGGAGGCCTGTGTGAATACACTTTGCAATCTGAATACAGTGGAGAAGGCAAAAAAACACACAGAATGGGAAGCTCAATTAGGTCAAAAGCCCTCATTATTTAAGAATACACTGAAGGCTATGCTGAAGAAATCCCCAAGTCTCTGCTGTAACATCCATGTAATGCATGTGTTTGTGAGCAAGCCAACAGCTGTTTGTGTTCATTTTTAAAGACACACAAAGACAAAGAGCAATGTCTTCAAATCTTTTTTTTTGAATGAGCTTTTTGTTTGAACCTAGACTTATTAAAGTTTCAAAAAAACATTTACTTGAGTACTGATGCATCAAATACTTTTGTCTTTGCAGATCTCAGATGCCCATAAAACATAAAACAGTGTTGGACTTTCTGGTACTGTGCAAAGCTTATATTTGGTGTTCCTCAAGGGTCCATTCTCAGGCCTCTTCTATTTACATCTACATACTCCCTCTTGTTGAGGTTATGGAAAATTACATCTCTTACCAAAAATGATGCAGATGACAAACAACTCTGCATAACAGTGTCACCAGGTGATTACAGTCCCTAACATTTTCAAGTGAATTCAAATCAATGCATGGATATGCTACATGTAAAAACATTAATAATAATAATAATAATAACTTAGATTTATATAGCGCCTTTCAGGACACCCAAGGGCGCTTTACAATAATAACAATAGAAAACACCAACAGACAAAGACAACCAAAAATTAGCAGGCAAAAGCCTGCAAGAACAAGTGCCTCTTCAGCATAGATTTGAAACAGTCCAGTGTTTGTGCTTGGTGCAGAGTCAGTGGGAGCGAGTTCCACGGAGTGGGAGCTGCCACACTGATGGCACGGTTCCCAAAGGTGCGCCTACTTGTGCGGGGGATGGTGAGGAGACCCAGGTCAGCAGACCGCAGGTTCCGTGAGGGGTGGTGAACATGAAGGAGGTCGGTTAAATACTGCATGCAGAGATTTATAGGTGAGGAGGAGAAGTTTGAAGGTTATCCGATATTTGATGGGGAGCTAGTGCAGATGTTTGAGGGTAGGGGTGATGTGCTGCTGGATTAAAAACATTAGTCATTATTAAATAACCTTTGAACCATAGCAGAAAATAAGATTCAGGAAAACTTAACACTTGTCCTTAAGTCACAGCATTGACTTCTTCTGTCAAATGATAACAATTTTAATCTGTTCCTTGTCTTTAAACCACTAAATGGTCATTGATCTACTGTTATGAACATAGATGTATATAAAAGGTTATGAAGCATCTACAGCATATCGCACCAAGCAAGTCGCTTTTAATCCAATGCTCCTCACCTGAGGAACAAGCTTCCTGAATACCTAGGGTTTTGCTAAAACTGTCAGTTTATTTAAATGTGGGTTTAAAACATTATTGTCTGCTCACTAATACACTATGTACACAATCTCTTTTAATCTTAAACAGTTTATTTTCTTGTTTTTGCTGCTGGTTTTATAGCAATCTAATACAATTTTAATGTGTTCTAATGTCTTACATGAAATCTTTTAAATAATTCTATGCCTCTGTAAATCACTTTGAATCGCCCTGTTTTATTGTCTTTTAGATGTAATTTTAATGTTTCTCTGATGTCCTGTTTTTATGTCTTTGATTTATTATTTTTTCCTTTTCTTTGTTAAGCACTTTGAATCACATTCTATCTTGAAAGGTCTGTATGGATAAAGTTGTCTTGTCTATATCTATATCTATATATCTATGTCTATATCTATGTCTACATCTACAGTATAAGCACAGTGGACCCTCTATTGCCTGACCTTACTGTTATATAATTAGATAACATTGCCACCTTGTGGACATGGGTTTCACTTGCATTGTAGATGAAATGGCCAGAAAAGTCAACATATGCAAAGAGATATGGAAAGTGTTAGATCGCCTTGGTTTATTTCAGTGTTAACCTTTGATTTAAATTTAAAACATGATATCTTAGAATTTTAAAAATTCAGTGAGTGTCTCTTCTCACAGGACTATTATTGTACCATGACACGAAATGTGAGAAGGCACCAACAGACATACTCACACACAGACACACATGGGGGAAAGAACTGCTCCAATTGATTAATTTAAATTTAAATTTAAAATTTAAATCTTGCAGTAATACGTTATTCATTAGACTGAAAATAAAACACTTGGTTCTTGTGGACGTTGGGGTCCAAAGGGGCTGATCAACGACAGAAGAGTTTTATTTAGGGCTGCAGGTCCTCTGATGGTCCCCAGCAGCTGTTGTGACTGTGTGCAAGAGCTCTTGTGTGCGCATGTCTGGACTTTCCCATTCTTCTGCTCGCTCAACTTTTCCTGGTAAGACAACAACTCTATTCATCCGTCAGAACAGATTGACCACCTCTTAAACAAAATGAGAACAAAAGCTGCTGAAGAGTCAGGATAGATTTAGAGACTAAGCATGATTACTGCAGATTTTCAGTTGTTTGAAACAGAAACAGAAACAGTGTGGGTGTGTGTGTGAGTGTGTGTGCTCAGAATGTTAATCCACGATGTAAAGTTGCATTTCATATAGTAGCATAGAAAATACACTGTTTAATAGGCAAATGGTGAAAAGGAATATACATATATAGGTTTTTCACTTTGATATTCACTACTACTTGTATAAATTTTGATTTAATCATGGAAAAATAAATGTGTGATAATTGCAGGTTAAGTCTGAAAGTGAAATTGTTAACATTACTTCATGGCTGGTTTGTCATATTACACATAGTAATAATACAATTTGTGTATATTCTCAGAATAACAATGACTCTGCAGTGGACGGCTGTGGCTCTCTTCCTCTATGGAGAGATAGCAGTCAACCTTCTCCTGTGCATACCCTTCATATCAGCACGAAGGTAATGTAGTTTAATGCACAAACCCACAACATCATCTGAAGTCAATAACACAACTCATGGTCTCAATCAAATTTCTCATATAGCATACAGGTGTGGGCCACTTTCAGCAATGATGTGGCACTTCTATGAACCAGACAAAATGGATGTGAGCCTAACGTGGCATAAATATCCCAACAAAACATGTGGGCCCTTTTTGGCAATCGTTATCTGGATGTGAACCTAGAGTGCCCCATGTTGTGAATGGTGAATAGGGTCCAAATAGCACAAACCAAATTAGGGCCACCTTTGGCTGTCGTGGTTTTGCTGTGGTTTGGTTTGGCCCAGATCTGGCAAACAGGAGCGTACTGAAAAACGCAGTTCCCACAAATCACCAGCAGAGTGAGACAACATCCTGGATCTGCTGTTTGGTATGGCAGCAGCTTCACTCACAGTGTCCTTTTGACCTACTTTCTCAGATGGCGTTTGGTTTTCAGCTGGAGAATATGGAACTGGTTATCACCATATTGGAACAGATGCTTCTTTACTATGATCATGGTTCTCATTGTTCTCTTCATTGGTAAGCAGTCTGTTGTGAGTCAGGGACAATCTGCTGTGGTTGGTGAAACAGACTAATAATACTAACAATGCCGACATGTTGTGTGTCAAGCAGCAGCGATAATGTCTTCTGTCTCTTGTCTCACTCTCAGATGCCTTCCGAGAGGTGAGGAAGTATTCTGGGCCCGAGCCCATACAAGACGCCAGCGTGAACCCCAATTTGCACGACCATGTGCTCATGAAGCTGTTCAGAGGCCAGAGGAACCTCTACATGTCTGGCTTCTCTCTCTTCCTCTGGCTGTCAGTGTTATTTATCTGCACATCCATTCAGAAAACAAGAATGAACATCACTTTAACGTTCTGCACAAAAGAATATTTTCTTATTTACCCTTTTGCATTTCACGTCCTGCATTTAATTTCTTCTACTTCCTCTGTTTCCCCGTCCCGTGATCTCATCACAGCATCTTGCGCCGGGTTGTCACCTTGCTAAACCAGGCTGCTGTCACAGTGGAGAGCAGTGCAGGCCTTCAGGCGCAGATGGACAATGCAGTGAAAGCGGCCAAGCAGCACCAGGATGACAACCTGATGCTCAAACAAGTGAGAATTACAGTTTATCAGAGCTTGATGACGAAAAGTTAATATATTAATTTGTCCTCCAATAGGCACTTACTGGTCTAACATCACTTATCATCCACAAAGGTTGAAGTGTTGTGGGTCATGTCCACTGATTTAATGTTCTGTAAGCAGTAGCTCAGTCTTGTTACGATATGGTTTCTACTTTGTATGTACTCTGTTTTTGGCTGTTCATATAAACCATTTAAGCTCAGTCATTAGAAAAAAGCCTTTGTGCTCAGGCGCTCCTGGATGAGGAAAACTCCATGTCATCAAAAAACCAACAACTGAGGCTGGAGGTGGAGGAGCTGGCAGGTCAACTGAAGGCTGCAGAGGAGGGTGAGTAATCGCTCTGCAGTTATATATACGTTTCACAAAGCAAAGCAGTGTTGATGCAAAAAATTATTCATAAAAAGCCTGAACCACTGCGGGTCACATCTTGTATATGCAGCATACTGCTTACAGAGCAATTTATAGACGTGGGACTGTTTGTGCCTGCAGCCGTGCACAAGTCTGACGCTGAAGTAGAAGCCATGAAGAGGCAGGCGAAAGGTCTGGCACAAGAGTATGACCGACTACTGAGGGAACACCATCAACTCCAGGTAACACAAACAGGTGTACATACATGCAAATACACAGTCACAAATACTGAAATACAAAATTGTATACTGATTCTACAAATGTTTTTTTTTTTACTATCCTTTATTTGATCCACAGAATCTCCAGAGTGCAGAAGACAAAAAGGATCAGTAACCACAGGAAGGGTCAAAGTTGTTTCTCCTCTGTCTTCTCATTACAACTATGTGCTGTATACAGTAGCTCACCATATTTGAGTTGCACTTTCATTTACCTTCATATCTGAGCTGAGGCAAGTTTGAATCTTCAGCATTAAGCGCAGGCTGCAGTTTAGAGGAAAAAGACTTGGATTGAATGTATTAAAAAAATGCTGAACGTACCAAATGTATTTTTTTAATGTTGCTCTAACATCTATTCACTCACACAACAAATGAAGGGAAAATATCTTCTAATATTACCTCAGGGTCTCATGCTTATCAGAAATACTAATATTTAATAATAATTAATAACCCCGTACCACCTTACCATACTGAAACATGTATCATGATTTTTATCAATTAAAAGTTTTGATAAATAAAAGCTGGACAAAAGCAGGTTTTATTCTTATAAAAGATCAGTGATATGATTAACTCTGCCAAGCAGGTTATGTTTTAACCCGTGTCCAGTTGTTCATTGGTTTGCATGTTTGTTTGTTTGTAGAAAACTACTGGACAGATTACCACAAAGCTTAGTAGAGGGCTGAAGCATAGATCAGGAAAGAATTCATTAAAGTTTGCTGTGGTTCTGGATCAGGGGGCAGATCCAGGATTTTTCTTCACTTTCTTTAACACAGTGAGATAGGGCGCTTTTAAACATTTTCGTTGATTTCTCAGTGAATTTGCAGAGGTGTGCACTCTACTGAGTTGTGTTTGCATCTGTTTTTCAGCTTTATTAAGTTTCCTACAAGTAGATCTTCCTGCAAACATACAGGAAAATGTGACTGTTCTGTTTTTTCCTACTTTTTTTGGTAATTTTTTGTTACATTAGTATACAGTATGTACATTGAAAACAAACAGCAAACCCTGACTTTGAGTTCCCCACGGTCGTGCAGAAAAAAGGCTGACACCACACAGACACAACATAAGATTACATTTTGAAAACAAAATGCAAGACGCTCCGTAATGACGAGGCACACTGGTGGCTACTGTACAAATATTATACAATGTGCAGTCAGGTACAGTACATGTGAAAGGGTTTGTAAATCAATGCTGCAAAACTCATCCAAAGCTCGACACACACACACTTGTTCTGAAGCTGTCTATCACAGTCCTCACCAGCAGACATGACTTCTCCCTCTCATAGAGATAAGTTTGACTGCTGAAGCCACAAATTGTAATGAAACAGCGGTTCTTCTACAAGACTGATATATATGACATCATGACTGATTGTTTGGCCTCAACATAAAATCTTTCAGTGGGCAGCTGCTCCTCTGTTGCTTTGATCAGGTTACTGACCTCATTCGTTCTAAGATTCAAACACCAACTTTGTCTCAGTGCAGCTTCACTCCCAGTTATTCCGGCTGATGTGCCACAGAAACAGTCTGCGGGTCTGTTTAACACAGGAATCTCTGCTGAAGTGAAAGCGAACATTTTAACCGTCAAGTTTTATCATTAAAAAAAAGACAAATATATTACATGAAGCACAATTACATTAGTTTTTTCTACAAAAGCGTTAAATTCATGAAAAACAAACATAAATGCATACATTCCTGAAATAGCATGTTTATAAAGTGGTTCTTTGTCCGTAATCGTATGTTTAAACAAATCCTGTACTATACTTTATATCGTGTGCTCTGAAATGCGTCCGCAGTGTGTGTTCCTCTGCACACCTGAGGTGCTGCTCCCTGGAGCTGATTCAGAGGAGATGAAGAGGTTGTCCTGAAGCTCACAAGCGAGTTTCTCTGTCAGGACTGCAGTCCAAGGCCAGAACAAATTGCTCACAGTGTGTGGAGCTGTTTTCCTCTTTCCTTAGGGACTCCATCTCTGCGTTCCCATTGGTCAGGGCGCTTTTCTCCTCCCTCTTAATATGTCTTTTGAAGAGTGCAAAACCCAAAATACAAAAGAAGAAGGAGACAGTCCTCAATCCCAGAGCCAGGCCCAGGTACACTATCCTGCCAAAACACATGAATGACTGTTAGGGTGGTTTTTCAAATTCTCATATCTGAGTCAAACTACAAATCACTTGAAATTAGTTTCCATGAGTCTAATTATGTCCAAGCTAATTAAATGAATCTAATCTAATTTTATTAAAAAAATAAAAAACAAGGTAAACAAAAGATCTTTTGTTTTTTTAAAACAGCCTCTGAAATATTCTCAAACTAACATGACCTTCCCTCTGGCACCACTCTAGTGGTGAACTTATGTTTTGTTCTATATCTTTTATAAATATTTGAGAATAGCAGTCGTCCCTCTACTTTTTATTTTGTTAATGAGCTCACATTAGTGCCTGTGTAGTTATATTTTCCTGTGAGTTTAAAAGGATTCCCAATCGATGCTGTGCACCAAGTTTGATTTACCTGTAAGCTGCAGTGTTATATATTCTACATGCTCCTCTTCCTCCACACAGCTTGTATCCCCATTTGAGGCATGTTGTGTCGATTACTGCTCCAAAGTATATAGGGGCAGGTATTCCAGCTGTTGTACAATTTAAAATAACTTGTTACTTCAAATCAATGGCAAATACCGGGTTACAATATAAAAAGTAATGATTTGCTTTCAAATGTACAATGGTTGAATGGTTCTCACCGAGTGTGCGAGTGGCCAGTGTGTGGATCCCAAGTGCAAGTGATTTCAGCTCAGGTTTAATGAACCTACAGAAACAAAACAGAGGCGTTAACAAAGACTTAACTCTTCATCCTGACAACGGGCAATTGTTTACATTTTTATTGTGGGTGTGAGCAATATATTGATAAGTTGCTTTAAGAATAAAAGAGGAAAATGAATCTGTAATGTAAACATCTACATTCTGCAGGTACAAGAACAAAGCTTAACTTAACAAATCATTGAAACTTTTAATTTCCTTTATTGTCCACCCATTTTCTGTGTGGCCTTTCCAATTCACATATGTAGAATGTGAATAAGAAAACCAGTAAAAGTTAATTTAATATGACTCCAAGACTGTTATGAATGTCCAAATATTTGAAAGAAATTACAAACATTGTACTGCATTAAATATAACAGTATTACATGGATTTAATGTCAGCACCCCTAGCTCTACCTGACCCCAGCATATCCATCGATGACACTGTATCATAAAGTATTCTCCTGATAACAGCAGAGAGTAAAATCTGTCAATGCACTGGTTCAAAACACAGAATGCATGTGAGGATAATGTAGTGATTCTTTTTAGCCAATAAGAGGATGTAGAGAGACCTGATGAGAAGCATATAGCCTGGTGTTCCCCCGAGAGAGATAAAGAACGAGCTGAGGACGGACAGAGCCAGAAAGTATGGGAAGATTTTGTCACAGCTGTCCCCGCGCGGACACTGGCCCAGAGTGACCGTCTGATTTCCCGGCTGGGGGTTAGCCACAGCCATACACCTACAATTGTCGAAAACCTAAAACAGAGAGGAAAAACAAATTGATATCAGTGATAGATGAGCAGGAAACACTTAACGTAAATGTGTTTAGACATCAGTAGCAACAAATTGTATCATGTGAAAAAACTGCAGCAGAAACAGCAGCAATCTAAATATGTGTGTTTTCCAGTAATGAAACAAAGAGCTACACTGGCACTCAGTAAAGCGCAAATTCCCCACCAACATAGAAACAACTCATCAGTTATTCCCTTGGAAAATGGTGAATAGTTGAAATGTTGAAAAACGCCCTGTCTTACAGTGATAAAGAAAGTGATCATGGATCCACCCCCTGATCCAGATCAGTAAAATTTAAATGGTTCTTCCCTGACCGATACCTCATCCTTACAAGTTTTGTGGAAATGTGTTCAGTAGCTGTTGTGTAATCTTGCACACAAACAAACAAACAAAAGGACAGGGAGGAGAACATAACCTCCTTGGTGTAAGTAACAATAGATGTGTAATGATGACAGTGTTGTGTGTCTGACCATGTTTCTCCCAGAGCCAGAGGACGAGGTGCACCCAGCCAAGCATGGGGACACGTATGTGATCCCGTTCTCTCCACACACCGGGTCCCACTCTCTTCCTGAGCACAAGCAATCCAAATTACAGTCGGAGAAGAGAGAGCGCTCCTGATGAGACAAACCTTCTGCTCTGCATGTGACGACGTGAAAAGAAAATACATATATTATTGACTGCACAAGTGAGCCAAGGCGTCTTTACTGTTCATGGAACATGAGACACAGAAGAGACTCAACAACATAATACAAAAGGCAGTGGACGGCTGTAACAAAGTACATTTACTTCATTACTCTACCTGAGTAAATCATGTATCTTTACATACGTAGATTTACTTTCAGGTACTTTGCATTTTTACTCTACTACATGTATCAGCAAATATCTGTACTTTCTTCTCCACTACATTTTAATAATGCATCGTGTTTTTTATAAGTAACAACAGCGGGAGGAGGATTGGTCCATTGATCCAATCAGAGCAGGCAGGTGCTGTTAGATCCCATCTTCTTTAGTGAGAGCAGCTGCAGCAGCATCACTAACTTGGGATAAGAGGCCTCTGCTTACACGTAGATTTAAAGCATTATAGAATAGGATACACTCACACAAGTATGATGATTATTATAATTATAATAATTTACCCAAGTAGAAATTGAATTTGTAGCCTACCTTTACTTGAGTAGATGTTTTTCTGTTTATTTGTACTTTTTCTTAAGTAAAATGTTCCTGCACCAAATCGTGCTAGCTGTAATCAGTGACTCTAGAAATGACAGATACACACACATCACATACCCAGTGTATGACACGGTGATCCCTGCAACCTTGGAGTTATCACAGCCCATGGCGAAGAAAAAGAGTGACAGGAAGTAGCCCAACAGTGAAGTCCCGAAGGCAAATTTAGCGGCTCCCATGATACCCAGCTTGTACTTCTTCATGATGACCCCTCCGGAGAACATCCCGAGGGCCACAGCCGGGATGTTGATCATGCCTGACCAAACGGCAGAACACAATGCTTTCTTAAAAGGAGTCAGGGGTCAGAAAAGATCTTCAAGCAAAATGAGCCACCAGCCAAAAAGGATCAAAGTTTTACTGCTCATTCATTTCAACGTAGTTGTTCATGTTTCATGTTAAATTAAATGATGTTGTGAAAGATAAAAACTGTTTATTTTGTCAAGGGGGCCCGGGCATCAGCTGAAATCTGATCAGCCCCTGAAATATATGTTTAAAAATATACTTACAAACAAAACTAACAATAAATTTGACAGTTTAAACAAGGAATAATTTTCAAAATACATTTAAAGTTATAAAGCTTATAGTGAACAAGGAATGACCTAAATGTGGAGCTTACTGAATCAGGAATTCTGCATGGATGTTAGACATGTAACTGTCCCGTCTGTATAAATCATGGCCCCTTCATGGCCTTGTCTTTAACAAATCCTAGATCCACCACTGGCTGGGAGGAACAACATGTCCAAACTTGGTTTATATCATAAACCTGTAGCATTTGGGATGTTGTAACAGGAGCATAAAACATAATCGAAAGCTCTTAATCGAAAGACTTTATTGATCCCGAGTGAATTTATCATGACCATGTAGCTCTCATCACTTTCTATCCACTTTATTTTTACTTTCAACAAAGAGACACAGGTTTTAAACAAACTTTTATCTGACAAGATGAAAATGACCATATGACCATCATGAAACAAGACAAACATCATGAATTATCAAAATAGTCTGCTTACCCATGAGAAAATTGGCTTTGGATGCTGACTGGCCGTAATGTTGCTCAATGTACTTGGGTTTGTAGGTGACCATCCCGATGAGAGAGTTGAACTGAATGATGGTCACACATAAGTAGATGACGTACACAGGATTTCCAAGGAGACTCTTCAAAGCTGGAAGAAATTCTGTGAAATGAGAGAGAGATGTAACAAATGATCCAGTCGGACTAAACCTTGTGAGCCTGGTGGTTCACAATGGGCGTCTTAACCACTGAACGTCAGGGCACCAGTTGTTTAGGGGTTAAAAGATACATGATCTCGAAATGCATAGATTGTAATCACCAGCATGTGGCATTCAAAGGTAGAACCACAAATGTGTTCAAAGTATATAAAGGGATGCCCAGCAAACCAAGTTGTTTTTAGATCTGAAGAGTTTTCCTCTCACATATGAAGAACACAGCAGGATATTGTCAAATGTCAGATGCTTTCACGACAACAGCAAAATCTGCAGAACATTGAGGGGTGGTGCCTGGACAGAGAACTTATGAAGCAGGACATAATGTATAAATTCTTCTCTTTTTGTTTACAGAACATCAACACAGGCGTCTTTATGAAGCCAAAAGCTCTCGAATCTCGTTGTGGCCCCTCCTTTTCACCCCGAGATATTTGGTTTTTTTCAGTTTTGCATCCATTGCGTATGCCCACTCTCTTGAGCTGAATCCCTTGGACAATAATGGGCTCAAATGGACATTATCCAGAGTTTTTAAACTCAAAGAAGAATGTCCGGAGCCTCTGATTCAGACATTTGTGTCCTTACATAAAGCCCTTCAAAATAATTTAAGAGTTCAGTGCAAGTCTGAAGTCAGCTTATGTCTCTTGAGAAATTGGTCACTAAGAGTCAATCAACTGAACACATCACAATGCCAATACTCAATATTCACTGCAATCAATGTTTCCTATACCTTTGGCCATCTGATGTAAATTAGCCGGCTCCTCAGGTCTGAACTTGTGCTCCATGGTCGGGGAATCTTTGATGAACCGGGTTTGCTCTGGAGTGCAGCTGGTATCGTGTTTTTCCACAGGCATTGGCAGCGACTTGGGCAGGAACCAGAAAGGAACAGCAGATATGAGAGTGATGGTGCCGGTGATGAGGTAGCCCAGCCACCATGCCCCCACCCAGCGGGCATCACCGGGCGTGATAGTCACAGTCTCTGCCAAGACAAGAGAGGAGATGAGAATGTCCTCAGCAACAATTCATTTTCATCAATTTGCTTTACGGAGAAGTTTAATATAGATGCATATTTCTTTTAACTATATTTCTTTATATGTAATTGTAGGTTAATCAAGGCAAGTGTATTTATCTCATACAGTTTATTTTTGATTGATTCAAAATGCTTTACATACACGTCCACCTACAGGCTTTAGTAAATGTTCAAACGCAACGTGAGAAGATTTCTCCTGGATTATATTGTTACACAGAAAGGTTTACAACAACAGTGTTTTCTTCCCAGTCAGATTATACTGTATGAATGAGACTACACAGACCCATCTGGCTAAATGTGCACCATCATGTGTCTCTACCATCGTAAACTATCCTGTCAGGAACAGGAAGGTAGACTTCAGATGGCTCCCTCATGCCTCTGCCACATTATGGAGGAGCTAGCAGATGCTGCAGACGGGGCAGGGTTGTAGCACATGCTAACTGTGGCTATCCCAGTCTGAGCTCAGGCAAAAGGGCCTTTACCTGTTTCCTTAGGTCAGTCTTGTAGACTGACACATACAGCCCTCCCACCTCAGTTTTCTATGGGGCTTTGATCTGGTTGGTATGCAAATACTGAAATACATTTGGAAAAAGGGAAGTGTCACATATCAGCTTGTGGGATGCACCATCTCCTCACGAGTGTCTTAAAGCATTACCCCATACATATGGAATATGTAATGGAGTGGAGAGACAGTCTTGGTTATGTTTAACCTTGGTTCTCTGAGTGAAGAGACTATCTCTTCAACTCATAGGCCGCTTGGAGACATGTGTTGATCAAACTATCAACTGGTTCCACGCCAACATAGGTGTTTTATAGGTAAACTGTAGGGTGTGGCCGGGCAAGGGGATCATCCTCGTACATATGGAATATGTAACAGAGTGGAGAGATGGTCTCTTCACTCAGAGAACCAAGGTTACAACATAACCGAGCATTGTGTCCAATGTGTACAATGACCACTTACCAAATCCTGCTCTCCACAGTGGATTGTTGGTGTAGTCTGTTATTGTGAACAAATGATAATCCACAACAAAGCCATACCAAGCTCAAGCTTAGTCAGTCAGTTTATTCATGATATGATGTTACTCACCCATGTGCACATAACCAATGTCGACATAGATTTTGGCACAAAGCGACCCCAGCAGGTACCCAAACACAGGACCAATTATTGATATTGTTTGGACACAACCTGTAATACACGACAAAGATATTTATCTGTTATCATTTGCTACCGTAACGCATTCGATTATGTGGTACAGTCAATTAAATAATAATGACATTCAATTTGTCTAATGAACATTTTTTTATACTTTTTAAATACAGTATGCACATTAGACATGACCATGACAGAATATTCTGGTAATTTATTTCTGCAAATAACACATGTATTATTTCCCAGTCGAAAATATTGAAAAATAAAATCAACTTCCCAAGTTAATGATTTAACAAAATTCTTGATTTTAATGGTATCAGTGTAAAATAAACAGAGAATTAGATGTGTTACCAATATAGAGGGCAGCATTCTCAGGCTGTGCATAATCATCAATGTAGGAGATCCCCAGAGGCTGTACTGGAGTCTCTCCAATCCCACGCAAGACATTTCCCAAAAACACGTAGATCCACATCGAAACACTGGACTCACGCACACATCCTACAGTTCAAAATAAGATAGTAAAAAAATGAGCTGAGCTCTGCGGACTTATAATTGAAAGTCTCAGAAAGTGACAGAAAATTCCTCATTGCCAAAAATATCATTATGATGCAGACCACAGACTGTATATAATGACGGATGACACGTCTCCATGTCTCAATCATGACATTCATCACATTTATCAAATAACTAAATAAAACCAAACTTAGTGGATAAATTAGAACTTTATCATCGTACCTAAGTACTTAACTACCTAAAGGGACAGTAACTAGTTCGTTTTTTCATGTTAACTTTCACTTTTCTTTAGTTTTGTACATGTTCATGGAGGAGGCAGGGTTTATAACCTATACTGCAGCCAGCCACCAGGGGATGATAAAGATTTAGGTTTCACTTTTGGGGAGCCATCATGTTGTCCATCTTTATACACAATCTTCAAAATGCAGACCAATCTCTTGACTAAGCACAGTAAGAACAATTTATCTTACCTCTAGAGGGCAGTATGGAGGGTCTGTAACCTGCCCTGATGGACTCAGGTGAGCTCACTGGACATGGAGAGAGGTTACTGGTTGAATTCACTGAAGATCTAACTGATGTTTCGATCTTATAGCTGCGTACAAAATACCAATGTGACTATTAAACAAGGGGAAGGAGAAAGGTATCGTAAGATACTCTGTGAATACATACATCAGAGACTACATGTTCAAAATAATAAATACTGCATTGTATTTACAGTGTGTAATACAGATATTATTGTTTTCCTACCGGCCAATGATGAAATGCGGCATGGCGATCAAGAATGTCCCGAAAGACATCAAGATGCACCCGATTGCTATGATCTTGGGTCGGTGGAGTTTGGCGCCGAAATAGCTCACAAAGGCAATCACCAGCAAATTCCCTAGAGGGTGGAGATGATCAGACGACGAGTCAACAGCATTAAACATGAGACCCACTTTAGAGAATATCCTAGTATGCTATAAAAGCTCCATACATGAAAAAGGTCTTCAGATCTGACAACATGAAAAGAATTTATTTAACATCAGTCATCTAAATGATGTGTGCTGGCACATGTAAACTCCTGTAAACACTGTTTCTGATATACTGCATATGGAGGGATTTATACTGTCAGATGTTGGCTATTGTGATTTTCGGATCAGTATGCCACACAGTATGATCACCATCCTCAAGTGCTACTCAAACAGGGAGATCTTTACAGTCAGACGACCGCACACATACACCTTGTTAACAGAAGATGTGCTGGGAAACAGAACACAGCTTTTTCATGACATGTATTTGTCCTATTTCTTGACAACGGTCTGTTTTTGTCTCTTGCTGCAAAAACCTTGACAAACTCTGTGTGTCTTTGCTCTGTTTGTTCATTTGGAAAGATTACATTGACTGGAAAAACTAGCTTTCTTTAATATTTGAGTATGTGTCTGCAAGTCAGGCACAGTATGTCGGTCACTGTGAACTGGGTGTTCACAACATGTAAGGGGCAGATGTGCCTCAGTTATTTATAACTCTAAAGGTTTGGATCAAAATTAGTGTAAATATTTAATAAATCTGCACACATGTACTATGACATATTTTTCACTATATATTAATCTGGTCTGCAACTACACAAGTCATTATCAATCCCTCTTTTCCAAGCCTACGCACACAGTAAATGGATGTTTCACTCATTACGAGTCAATTTGTTATGCGGCCAGTGAGTATTCAAAGCTCAAAGGGGGATTCACATATGAGGTAACATCAAACCGGCTGACATGTTATGGACATATTCTCAATTCACTTTCATTAGCATCTGAATGATTCAAAACAAAGGACATGAATAGCCAGAGCAAAAATAGATAACACTGAGAAACTCACCTACTTCAAAGCTCCCGTCTATGATGCCGATCAGATAACTGGATATGTCAAATCGCCTTTCTAGTTGTGTAATTGTGCTCTTCATATAGCTGCCAGATAAAGCCTTGGCAAAGTATGCGAAGGACAGGGCTGCAAGGAACATCTACACACATACAGACAGAAGACAGACCACAGTGAGAAACAAAACCATTCTGAATAATCTCTCCTCATATCATATATACTGTGTATATGGATATATATATATATATATATATATATATATATATATATACCATATATTTTTTTTGAACATGAGAGGTTTGAAAATATGTTTTTAGCATATAAAATAAAACAATGTTCCCACAAAGTGCATTAATTTAGCCATAGGCACTATCTTGTGATTTAGTGAATGCAAATGAGTGTGTATATATATGATGCAAATTTGCAGTGCAGATAGCTTTGTATTGGCCTTATTGAGCTTCCTCCTATTTGTGCTCAGCCACCTGTGGACACTGACAGTCACTAACAAAGGGTGGATTAGAGAAGCCAATCCTATAGAACACAGTCACATCCGGTGCACTGTGGGTTGGCAGAGGCAACGACCGGCTGATTGGATACAGGTGAGAGGTAAACATAGCCTCTCTCAGAGATCAAGGAGCTTCTACACGCCACATAACAACGCTCCTGTTTTTCATCAACTTTTCCACTGACAGAATTTATTCTAATCTCATATGAAAGCTACAATTATTAAAATACAATTTATCTGACAAGATAGGTTTGTAATAGCCCATTGAAAAACTAGAAATACTGCACCGTGGTTGTACGCCTCTCCACAGTTGCAGTTTGAGTCTTCTTACTTTTTCTCCTGATTCATATGAGGTCAATGTGACCTTCTCCTTTGCCCACCCACATGTAATCAGTTCATCTGTGAGCTTAAATGAACATCTGCACCATATTTTAAAGGATTTTCTTTCTGCATTCTCAAGATATTGCGTTCATAAGGCAAAACAAATGCTTGTCACAAAATGTGCTTGTTTGATCTTTGAGATCAACTGAACATTTGTACCAAATTTGAAGAACTTCCCTCAAGGTGTTTTTGAGATATGTCCTACACAAGAATGGGACAGACAAGACACACAACCGAAAACATAACGCCAGTAAAAATTTGGCTGCTACAAAATCTCAACATTTGAGATTTGAAACATGCAAACTACTTCACCACTTGATGTCACTAGATTCTACACACTGAACCTTTAAGTTAACCACTTGGTCCATTTACAGTGCACGAGGCACATTAGTACATTTGAATGCTTTAAGCGTGAGCAGTAAACAATGAATGTGATGTCTGTTGTGGTCCAGAGGGTGGAGGTGTGGCTACAACCTCTGTAAATCATTGCAAATAAATGAGAAAATTGCAGGGAGCTAAGAGGGAACAGAGGAGCTATGGCAACCATCAAGTGCTCCACACCTCTTAAGGTAAGTGCAGGCTTTGTTTTAATGTCAAGTGCATAATTACGTTTCCACACCACCCAGTTCATATGGACGTAATGCTGCAGTAATGCTGGGGCACATCGGTTTGCATATTACTGCATTAACTATGTGAAATATCAGTACTTTTTAAAAAAAGGGAATGGTGATGTATGTGAGGACATTTCATCAAATCCTTTTTAAATCTCTTCTTAAAACTTACTTTTATCATTGTTTCACTTTTGCTTCATTGTCATCCAAAACAGCTTCTATATGGGACTGTTATGATTAATGCTTTTTCTCTGGGTTACACGATTTGTATTTTTTAATTCTAATAATTTCTGAGAGAATTTTGACTTTCATTAGAGGGTGTGGTAGTGGACCATGCCACGGGGCTCTCACCACAGCAGCCAGAGACGAACCACTCAGACTTTAGCATTTTAGCATCTTTATGTAAACTTCAAAACTAAATTCACAAACACTGAACTTAAAGGATCCAGCATTTTCTGCTGGACGTCTCGTTTCCAGCACAGTCTCTGTCCGTCACTGTCCTGCGTGTGTGCGTTCGTCTCAAGGCAGCTCCGCCGCTGCCATTTAACCCTGAGGATCAATCAGCTAACAGCTCTCACCTGTGCTGATTGATCCACTTAGCAATAAACCCTTTAAAAGCCCTTGTTAGTTTTATTGATTGATATTTAGTTTTGTGACTAAATTAGTAGAGTGGCAAATTACAAAACAGAACAACAAATAAGAAATAACATCAGGAAATATGAAAGCACAATGACAAATCACAAGGGACAACAACAAATTTCAGAAGACAACAGCCTTTTTTAATGGAAAAGATAAGTACCGGATTTCAACAAAGCTCAATGCTGATTGGATGGAGGCACTGCCCATCGTGTTTTGTGATTTGTTGCTGTGATTTGCACTCCAGGACCACCTTAAATCAGAGGAGCCAATTTATACAAAACTATTCAAGTCACTTTAATGTGACGTTTCCTTGAAATGAAATTTGATGAATATTTTATGTCTGAAAATCTTAAACATTTCAAAAATTTTAATATACTATACTGCTTTTCACTGCGGTAAAACACAAAACAAGTTTTGTTGTGATAGAAAGAGAGTAGTCAATTCTGATGCTGCATTTACAGGAGTAAATTTGCGGCGTGTTTGGTGTAAACGTACCATAATAGCCTTATGCTATTAAATCAGAACTTGAGAAATTAACCAGCAAGAGTCTAAAATAGCTTGCTACTTTGTGGCAACAGCAATTTGACAGCTGTCACCTGTACCTATAATATTTGCATGTAAGGTAAAATTTGGGCTTAACAGACATGCAGCAGCAGCAAAAAAACAGAAACAGTTTCTCTAGATAAACAAAGAATGTTGTATCAAGTGAGGTTCATGGTGGGATTACCACACAGAAGGAATAAAACACATGAGGACAAAACGGCAGCGTGACTTAAATTCCTCATTATTGTTGCTTGTAGCTGAAGCATTTCACTAAGCAGCTTTCTAATTATTGTCCAACGTGCTTCTTAATCCAAGTAAGTGGTACAGACCCTCTGTTCTGCACTGAAGCACAAACTATGTTTAAGGAATTGTTCACAGCCACTTAGTACACAGTCCAAAGGGCAGAGCGAGCTGCTGCACCCAACACCTTAAAGGCTCAACTGAGCTGTGATGTTGACCTGCAGCCACACAAAAACAAAAGTTGGTAACCTGGATCACTGACTCATGAAGTTTCTTAGATTTTGACATTACTCAACATACTATACGTTTATTTTGTGTTTGCTGGAAGTACATTAGTTCTATTTCTAGCACACACATTAAGGTGACCTTTTTATCTTCAAATATACATATAATATACATATAAATTATGTTAAATTAAATAATCGGAAGTTGTGGTCTTAAATATTTAATTTATGTCACCCCTTTTGTTCTGTATGTGTTATCCCAGAAGTCCACTGCTTGTTTCAGTTTTTTTTTTATGTTATTGTTTAAATAAAGCTCTTATTTTAAAAATCTCATTCCTTCCTTTTCAGTCCCTCACATTGGCCTGGTAGAAACATACAGCACGCTCTGCTGAACCTCTCATCAGAGGTTCAAACATTCATGGAATCACATCAAATTACACATAAGTGATTTTATTGTCTGTAGATAATTTGCTTTTTAAATTACCTGGCTAAACAAATTATAGGAGGCACCTGCTGAACAGTGGCTTTTATATATTTCCACTACATATTCTACATGAAACACACATTGAAACCAACACATGCAGTCTGTCTTAGCTTCTTATGCACATGTGTTTCCAGTGATATATGTTTGTCTTCTCTTGGCCGGTCAGATGACTGTGAAAATGACAGACATGTGGGTCTTCTCTTGTTTCAGGCTGAAATATATGTTCTTCTAACCATTCTCTGGTATGCACTGTCTCCATTGGCCTGGGTTCGTCTATTTCTATAGTTTTTCCCCTGCAATTTCAAACTGGTTGTTTGGGTGGTAACAACATTCGTCAGAATTGTTGGTATTTTTACTGTTTTCTCAACAGACAGAAACTCCACAAATAACTCAAGTTGTGCGTCTTAGTTTACTTACGACTGTTAAGTCACAAAATCAGGACAATCCTCGTTTTATTAGTTTGGCTAAAGGTTCAGGGTTCGTCAGTGAGGATCTTATTTCTCCTTAAAGTACAATACCTTCAGATTGGGATGGCAGGAGTTCTTCACTGCAGAGATATGGTTGTTGTTTAACTTCCAGCTGCCTGTGGCTGAGTTGTCGTTCTTCTTCATGGCTCCCGTTGCCTGAGCTGCAGCTTCTCTGCAGACTGTTTACTTTGGCTGTCCTCACTCACACCTATAGGAAAGATCAGCAGAATCTGTGGATTCATCTGGCACATGCATTAGGAATCAAATGTTCCTTGGACTGGACAGACGTATTTATGCGTTTGTTGTTTCCTTCTTTTTACTGTAAGCATGAACAAAGACATTTCTTGAATAACAGTCAGTTGTATTTCTCCTGGATAATCAGATTCCTGTCACCCTGGTAAAAAGTGGGTAAAGACCATGAATGAGTCACAAATCTCATGTGATTCAATCAGAGCAAACATGAATGACAAAGAGGACATACATATCATCTATGTAAGAATGTATATATGAACAATTCAAGGCCAAAGAGAACAGACATATTTTACATTGTATTAAACGTGGTAATACAATTGCAAATGATGATACTGTGATGTAAAAAATCCACAGCGTCCTTAGTAGAGGTTAAGAAAAGGTCATGACATCTTCAGTATATACATACTCTTGACTGTAGTGACACACGTGAAGGTCAGGTGCTCACATTAACAAGACACGGTGCACTCAAGAACCTGCTGGTGAATAAAACCAAGACTTTAAAAGACTGTGGGTAGCTCAGTAAATACTGGAGAAGAAACTGCAACTAATCTGTCTGAATCAAAGTGACAAACAAAGACTTTTTCATGTAATTGTTACAATAACCTGGCAATGATTACACTGAGATGTTTTTACTAAAGGCAAATGTAAAATTTGAGATGAATCATAGCACTCAAGCACATAGAAAAGAAAAATGTTAAGTAATAACTCAATGAGGATTAAGTGGAATCATTGGGCTGTAAATCATGGGAAGACATTCTTAGTTAGTTCTGCCTCTGGAGTTACGCAATGTTTCTTCTTCTTCTTTTAAGATGGCAATGGT